CAGTGGGAGGGCTTCTAATGTCCTGGCCCCACTGGTGGACCTCCTGATGGCACTGGTATTTCTGGCCACTGTGTGGCACGGAGTGTTAGACTGAATGGGCCTTTGGCCTGATCCAACATTGGCGTCTCTTATGTTCTTATGTAGGATTACAAACTGAACTCCAAGCAATAGAGACCAGTTTCTAAGCGCTACCCTTCTTAGGTTCCACTTCCTCCCCCCCAAAAGTCTCCAGGTAGACCGTATTTCCCAACCAGGAGCCGGCAACACTACAAATTCACCATCATCCCTATTACCTCCCTCCATGGCTTTGTGTGGAAATGGAAATCTTGCCCCTCCCCCAGCCAACTGCCTCTATTTCAAAAATGCCCCCCCATCATCATGTGACCATTTCCTGTCTTTTCTCAACTGTCAGGAGGCCTTTTCCCCAGCTTCTGAACAATATCTAACCACAAGGACCTCTTGCTTTGAATTTCAGTTTTATCCTGGTCCTTCCTCCTAGGGTTGCCAGCTCCGGGTTGGGAAATACCTGGAGATTTGGGGGGTGGAGCCTGAGGAGGGTGGGGTTTGTGGAGAGGAGGGACTTCAATGGGGTACAGTGCCCTAGAGTCCACCTTCAAAAGTGGCCATTTTCTCCGGGTAAACTGATCTCTGTTGCCTGGAGATCAGCAATGCTCCCTCTAAGTTGTGGAGTCTCGTGAGCAAAAATTCTACTTGGTGGGCTACCGGCATTAAAGTTGTGAGCGAACGATTTGGCTGCTGCATAAATTAGTTTGCTCTGGAGCCCTCCTTCCTGAGCGAAGACAAAAATGCATGAGCTGGAGGCTAAAAAAACTGAGCTAGCTCACACTAACTCGGCTTAGAGGGAAGACTGGAGATCAGTTGTAATAGCAGATCTCCACCCACCACCTGGAGGATGGGAACCCTACTTCGTCCATGAAAGTCAGAGCAGCTTAGACCCTTCCCTGTTTGTTTCCTCACAACTACCCTGTGAAGCAGGTTAGGTTGAAAATGCACAACTGGCTCGAGTTAATGTAGCCAAAGAAAGGAGGCGTGTGAAACTGAACGCACGCACATTTCTCTACACTGTCTCTTATGACAAATTATGAAAACTCTTTCTTTCTCTCGTTTGAATAATGAAACTTTGGCATTTCTCCAACGCCGCAATTAACTAGAGGGGGAAAGGCAAATGACCACTGCACCTTCCAGTGGCAACTGCTATTCATTTGACTGGACAGGGGAACAAGATCCTATTGAGACATCCTACCGAGCCACTATTTCCTGGTCTTATCCATGTGTGAGGGACAAAATTTGGGTTTTTCTCCTTTCGGGAGACTGGCAACCTGTGGTGTGAAACCCCTCCCATCTGTAAAGGCAGGAGCTACACACAAGTTTATACAATGCACAAAGACTGCTACGTGTGCTTCACGTTGCCTTAGCGATAAGTCAGGCAAGCAGAGGCTGGAACAATTATTTCCTCAAGGATGTTTGCTTGCTAGAAAAATTATACTGCTTGCCGAAAAGTTATATCGCTGACTAAGGAAATGCTTAGACAACTAAAATTTAATTAACATGGGGAAACCAGGTAAAGGGAGACCTGGAGACCAAGCCCTATGAGGAAAGGCTGAGGGACTGGGGAATGTTTAGTCTGCAGAAGAGGAGGTTGAGGGGGGACAGGATTGCTCTCTTTATGTATTTGAAGGGCTGTCCCTTAGAGGAGGGCAGTGGATGGGACTCACAATCATGGGTTTAAATTAAGGGCGGGAAGGTACCAGCTGGATATTAGGAAAAGGAATTTCAGACAGGCGATATATTCCAGAAGAGGAACGGTTCCCAAACGGTTTCTGGTCTGTCATTTCAGACAGAACCGTTTGAGAACTGGTTCCCTTCAGGAATATATTTGTCATTTCATACACAATCGCTTCTGTCCCGTTTAGGAAACGGGGCTGAAGCGTTTTACCTGTCAACCGCTTCCAAGTACTCCTCAGTTTCCTCTCCCGGTTCCAATGCGCTTTTTCCCGCCGTTCTTCGCCCGCGCAGGCTATCTCCGGCTTTTTAAAAATAAACGTTTGCTTTATAGCGCTATAACGGAATAGCATTATATCAATCCCATTGGAATGCATGGAGTGTTTTTATACTGCTACAGCGCTCTAAAGCGAACGTTCCCCCCGCCCCCCCAAAAAAGCCAGAAATCGCCCGCATGGGCGAAAAACGGCGGGGGAAAAGCAGGGAAAAGCGGTGCAGTCTGAAATGGCAAACCGCTTCAGATCCAGCTCTTTACCGGAAGGGGAAAGCCATGTGTTAAATGGCAGCCCTATACTGGTTCACTTCAAAACGGATCACCGGCTTGAAACCGGGTGAAACTGGGTAATGTGAAATTCCCCCCTTTTTTACAGTCAGAGTTGCGCAACAGTGGAACCAGCTGCCTAGGGAGGTGGTGAGCTCCCCCTGACTGGCAATCCTTAAGCAGCGCCTGGACAAGCACTTGTCAGGGATGCTCTAGGCCAGTGGTGGCGAACCTATGGCACGGGTGCCAGAGGTGGCACTCAGAGCCCTCTCTGTGGGCACGCGTGCCATCGCCCCAGCCAGGCCCAGACCACCATTAAAGTGTCGAATTCTCTGCCAAATAATTTTAAGTAAATGAAAGCATTTGGGATTGCTTTCCTTACTTTGTTAGGATCATCTTAAGTTAATGTATGAGTTGTTTTTTCTAAAGTAAAACATCAGTATCCAGGTTAAATTGCCGTGTTGGCACTTTGCGATACATAAGTGGGTTTTGGGTCGCAGTTTGGGCACTCGGTCTCTAAAAGGTTCGCCATCACTGCTCTAGGATGATCCTGCCATTGTGCAGGGGGTTGGGCTAGATAGCCTGTAGGACCCCTTCCAACTCCGGGATTCTACGATTCTAAAGGGGCATTGATGTAGATCTGTCAGAATAAAGGTGTCGATATTAATTAATGGTTTTGGTTATTACATGATTGTATCAATCTAACAGGTATTTAAGCTTCTGTAATGCTATTTCGGGGGTCTTCCTTGCCTGATCACTGGAGACCTTTCGCTACAGTGAAAAAGAAAGTATTTCTTCGCTAGCCACTTCGTCCGGGTTTCTTGTTAGCAAGGTTTCTGAAGCGGGGGCTTCTGAAAGGCTCCCATCATGTGAGAATGTCTGCCGGAAAGCGTCTTGCCAAAGACTTCTAAAAACCAGCACTAAAAGCATTTGCCTCTCTTCAAAGCAACGCAATCTGAGTTGTGCAAATATCTATTCGCAATTTACAGAAATTATCACATTTTTCCAGGGCAGATGGCCCAACTCAGCTTTTCATATTACCAATCTCAACTTGGCACTGATCCCAAAAAAACTTCATGTAGACCAGGGGCCCCAACATGGTGCCTGTGGGTGGCATTTCTGGCGCCCACCAAGAGTTTTTAGGAAATGGGCATGGTCAGGTCGGGCTTCTGACTGGAGATCTGATTGGATGTGCAGATTTTAAAAAATGTCACTTTGCCAGCAGCTGTCCCCCACAGCACAAGGATCGTCACTGTGTAACTGAAGGTAAGCTGTGGCAGCCATTTTGTGCCTGGCTCCACCTCCTGCAGTGGCCATTTTGGGGCTGAACCCATCACACTATATCAGAATTACAAAGGTGCCCACAGGCTCGAAAGGTTGGAACCCCTGATGTAGACAAACCCAGGAGGAGGAGGAGGAGGAGGAGATTGGATTTATACCCCACCCTTCACTCAGAGTGGTTTACAAACTCCTCTCCCTTCCCCTCCCCACAACAAACACCTTGTGAGGTAGGTGGGGCTGAGAGAGCTCCGACAGAAACTGCTCTTTTCAAGAACAACTGTGCCAGAACTATGGCTTGCCCAGCATCATCCAGCAGGTGCAAGTGGAGGAGTAGGGAATCAAACCCGGTTCTCCCAGATTAGAGTCTGCACACTTAACCACTACACCAAACTGAGGTAGACAAACCCCTGAACCTTGGCCACCCGTTAGGAGTAGGTCCTTTTAGGCAACAAGGCACTAGCTAAAGTATGTGTGAACACAGGAGGACTAAAACTATGATCTGATACAGTGTTTGCACAGCTCCCATGGATTATTCCTGGAAACACATGAAGCTGGCTTATCCTGATTCAGACCCCTGGTCCATCAAGGTCAGTATTGTCCACTCAGACTGGCAGCGGCTCTCAAGAGTCTCAGGCCTGAGGTCTTTCACATCACCGACTGCCAGATCCTTTCACGGGAGATGCCGGGGATTGAACCTGGGACCCTCTGCATGCAAAGCAGAGGCTCTTTTCACTGAGCCCCTCCCCTTAAGCATTCCAGGTTAAATCGTGCTCTCCCCCCCCCCCCCGCTTTTGTTTGCCGTGCTGGGGAGGCCTAGCAGGCCCAGGGAGCCTGAGTAGCAGTGAGAGGAGGCCAGACCTACAACTCTCAGAAGTCCCTGAGATGTTTTGGTGCCAATTTTAGCTAATCACAGAGAAGGGGGACTTATAACAAAAGAGCTGGTACAGAAGAAGAGCTGTTCTTTCTTCCAAGACAGCAGGGCCAGAAGCAAGGCTGCTGCTAGGAGAAACCCTCACCCTGAGAGGAAAGGTGAGTAGACTCAGGCCCAACTGAGACAGTGGACTAGGGACTGTGAGTCTAGTCGCATTAGGGCATGTGGTTTCTTTTCTCTTCACCCACTTATTGTGATTGTTCTTGCACTTTGTTTCCCATATTGGGCTGACCTCCCATATTGGGCTGACCTCGTTGTTTACTCTGCGTGGTCTTCACGCATATTATTCAGCCAAATAAGGGAGGTCTGAAGGTCTTGGGAGGGTGCTATGGGCCTTCTCAAGGGATCCTAAAACCAGAGTGGTGGCAGCGTGAGGTGACACCCCCCCCAACACACCACTGTGGGACCAAACCTATGATTGCAATTGGTCCTGACAATTTGAAGCAGAAGATTATTTCTATAACATCATAGCAGATGGAGAAAGAAAGACACGTGCCAAGATGGGACCGATTTTGAAAGGGCTTGTGTTTGTGTGTGTTTAATAGGATGTTCCAGTTCTCAGTACAACAGTTCAGCCAGAAATATAAACCTTTGTTTGTCAGTTAGCCATGTGATGTATGGAAATCACTGCTGTTCTCTTCACCAGGGCGGAAGAAACGCCAGCCGGAAGCAAGCTGAGAAAGCAGCAAGCGCCAGGAGGAATCCGGTAGCGACAGATAAATCCTGCAAAAGTAGCCTCGTTCTTCCAAATTGCCGCGGCCTTGGCAAGGAGGGGAACTATCCAGTTCGTGCTCAGCATCAAGTGCCTCCCGCCATCAAAACTGGCAATGGGAAATCAGTACACTTACATAAGCATTCCAGGTTAAATTGAGCTCTCTCCCCCACCCCCCATACACACACACACAACAATGGGACCAAGCACACATAGAGGCAGAAAAGCCTTGCTGGTGGAGAACAGGGACTCTCTCCCACTACCTTGTGGCCAAAAAGAGAGAAAGATCTTTTCCGAAACAGGAAGGACTGGGAACAGACCTTGGGGGTGGGAGACAGCGGCAGATTGATACAGGGTGCAGATTTGCATGGCACAGCAGTATTTAACCAGCAAGGGAAAAGATGCAACTATTAATCAATTGTAATTTTTCCCCCCCAGTCATCCTCTGAGAAGAGCAGCTGTCTCAACGGATAATCCAACCGGAGAAAATCTGGCGTTAACAAGAATGGAGGGGAGTTATTTACCAAGGAGACAACTTGATCTGAGCCCTTATGCACTTTCTTAGCTGCAGGCCCACAAAGAGACATGTAGCTGCTTTGCTGAAAAAGAATGGGGGCACCCCAACAAAAATACCAGTGCTCAAAGGAGCAGTGGGCTAGTGAAAAACAAGGACTTCCTTCTCAATTTCTCTAAGCACCTGTTTCTGCTGAAGGGGGGACTTCATTTTAAAAACAAACAAGAAAGGATTGGGAAGGAGGAGAAGAGGAGAAGGGAAAGATAACAGCAAGGCGGTCTTTTCAAAGCCAGTTCGGTTCCGACAGACAACATTTAAACATTTGTCAAAAACTCCACCATGGTTCCATAAATACAAACGGAGCCATCTTGTGTTCAAAGACAGTAGCCGAGTGCCAGATTTTGCAGGCTGCAGAATACCCTTCACACGCGTTGAACCTCTCGTGGTTTCAAAACCAAGGACTGAAGCAGCTTCCCTAATTCAAAAGGAAATTGTTAAGTCCAAAGAGAAGGGAGGTCAGGAGTCAGTCGACAATACTGATAAGTCCTGGGATGCTGGATTCTTTGGAACTGGGCCTCTTCGCTTACTTTGCTCTGAAGATGACATAAATCCTGGTCAGCTCCCTTGAAGTATATACTCAGCCATTCTAGGTAGACCACGTGTTGCTCAAAAGCAGCACTTTTGATACAACTGCAACAGCTACTAGTGTGACCAATGAGCAGTCATTTTGGAAGCCACCCTCAAACACACTGTGGACTAATATCACATGTTTACCAAGAACCGTTTGACAGTACCAAAGTATCCCAAGGTCACAGTTGTTGCTTGAAAGCTACACTCTCTTCAAAAAAACCAAAACAAACCCCACAACAGCTACTAGAGTGACACCACCACCCCTTGCCTCCCCTGGAAGCAGCAGGTTTTAGAAACCCTCAATCAGAATGGACTATTGCATGCTTATTAAGGGTCAAGTATTCTCAGGCAAGTTATTCCATATCACCTCTGTTGCTCCTCTATGAGGTATCCCTATCGGGGGGCCCCTTTGTTTAGAGTTTCTGAACAGCTAAATGAAGCGAGTAAGACTTCTTTCCTCCAATTTCAGCGCCAAAGGTAAAAACGGTTGACGAGGAGGAATGTGAGAAGAAAAACGCACCGCCCCTCGATTATGTCAAGGATGCAAGTATTCATTACCTGAAAATGCTAACCTGCTGGAGTCTGAAACAGGCATCAGTGTAAACCATACTTAAACAGAGTCCATATTGATATCCCACACCTGCCAATCACAGGCCACTTCCACATCCACAAGAACCACAGCTTGCTTAGCCAGCTCCAGAATCTACCTGAGGGTCTAGGTCAATGCCTCCTTATAGGTACGACAGTTAAGACCCTTATTTAAAATAATAATAATAATAATAATCATAAAGCAGATCAAACTTTGCTGAAGGAGCCGCTTGGCCTGGAAAGCTAGCTCTCCCCTCACAATGGCAGATCACTCTCAACTTGTGAAGGACAACCACCAACACTGCCACCCCAACCAAGAAGTTCTTCCATCAAGAGTTTTCTTTAAGGAAGAGTACGCAGGAACACAGTTCGAGACAATGAAAGTCCTAAGCCTAGAGGCCTCCGAAAAAACCATTCTCTGCGCCTTCCGTTCGGGGGCCCTTGCTTCCTTTGCCCGGGTTGGGAGTGGTGGAGTACTTGGGTGGGTAGCGGATGAAGAGCCGGTCTTCCTCTTTCTTTATCCAGCGTAACAGCTTCGTCAGGACGTTGATGGCACCAGCCTTGGTCACCAAGGGACTGAAGCAGGTATATAGTTCAAACTTACTGGTGACCTAAAAGAAAGGGGGGGGGGGAGAGAAATATTCAGCTTCATATAGGCAACTAGTTCAGGGACTTCCTTCAGGCCCAAGACCTAACCTACTTTCACAGAGTTGTTATGAGGGTAAAATGGAGAAGAATGACGTAAGCCATTTTGGGTCCTCACTGGGGGGGGAAAGGCAGAGTAATGACTCAAATAAATAAGACAGTATTTGGGGAGCAGCTGGAGATTTTGGCTTCCCAGAGGAGCAAACAGGATATCATTATTATATAGCCTCACAGGAAGCGGCCCCCTTAGGCACTAGATCTCATCTTTGAAAATGGGGGGAGGACAGCATTTCATCCTCATTTAATTACCAACCCAAGAAGTAGACTCTACTAGATCACAGAAAGCAGCTTGTTTTCCTAAGTTCTTTCAGGGAGAGATGCCAACACCTATGGCTCAATAAGCCGCTTCGCCCGGTTTCTGTGACTCACTCAAGTTATTAGCTCTTGTTATTCGAACCTGTAAGTCTGGTGATGAGGAGAAGTAAATGATTTGTGAAGTTTCAAGCAGCATTTCATAATTTGTCTGCGACCATCACAAAGGTCAGCGGGCTGACTCAAACTGAGAAACTGCCCTTCAGTCAAAACACAACTATCGTTACCTTGCCTCGGTGCTTTTTTGTTATTTTGTCAAAAATAATGTGCCAGTATTCATATATTATATATATTTGAATCCCAAAGCCAGGAAGCAACACCAGGGGAAGGCTTCGGCCTCTCTGCCTTGTTTTTGGCTATCCAGAGGACGTGGTTGGCCACTGTGCAAGACAGGATGCTGGACCAGATGGACTACTGGTCTGATCCAGCATGGCTCTTCTTATGTTCTTACAGTTGAAATCCTTTGTTTTATTTATTCGTTTTGGAGAATTTAAGATGAATGCAAAGCCATCCTCAGAACTCATGAAATCTTAGAAGTATAAGGCTGGGCTCCCTACTCATACATGAATAGCTTCTAGAAAAGCCTGTCCCATACCCTTCCAGCATAGTAACAGCTGTCCTGCCTGGCAAACACAGGTTCTCCTCTGCTCTGACCTGTGACCTTATCATAAAAGTTTTCCCTCTTGCCTTTCTTCTTAGACAACAGAATTTACTCTCCTCCAAACTAGCACAACTTCAAAAAATCCTTCACCTTCTACCATCAATTCCTGCTTTTCAAAAAACAAAATCACTCATAAGAATGCAAGAGAAGCCACACAGTGGCCAAAACCAAGGTGCCACAAGAAGGTCCACCAGTGGTGCCAGAACTCCAGAAGCCCTCCCACTGTTGCCTCCCAAGTGCCAAAAATACAGAGCATCACTGCTCCAGACAGAGTGTTCCATCTGTAGTACACTGTGTGGCTAAATAGCCACTGATGGACCTCTGCTCCACTTTCCACTGCTGATGAGTATTTCCCCTCCATTCTGGAATGCAGTTGAGGCACATAAGGGATTAAAAGAAGCAATGGGGGAAGGTTAATATTGGAAATTTAGGCCCCGTTCACACGCGGACGTAGCTGCGGGAGCGCCACGGGCAATGTTCCCTCTAAGCCGTGGAGTTTCGTGAGCAAAAATTCTACTTTGTGAGCTACTGGCATTAAAGTTGTGAGCGAGCGATTTGGCTACTGCATAAACTAGTTTGCTCTGGAGCCATCTTTCCTGAGCTAAGACAAAAATGTCTGAGCCAGAGGTTAAAAAACTGTGAGCTAGCTCACACTAACTCAGGTTAGAGGGAACACTGGCCACGGGTGGTGGGCGGATTATTCAGGCGCGATCACACCGCCACATCTGGCAAGTGGAGCACACCCGTGGCTTCCCGCGGAAAACGCGGAGTTAAAAACTACCTGCTTCGATGTAGTATTTTCCAATTACTGCGCGGTGCAGGCGGGCGCTGGTAGCCCGTCGCATCCAGCAGCCGTCCGCGTCGGGCGCATGCGCGCAAACGCAGTCCTGCTGTGTTTTTGCTGTGTTGCCCCGCTGGTCTGATCGGCTGCTGACGGCCGGAGGAAGGAGCCGCGGGGGAACGTGAGATCATGCTATCGCGCTTCTTTTTTCTCCGCAGCTAAAAGCCTCCGTACCCCTGCAGATTACCTGGCCCGTGTGACCGGGGCGTTTGTAGGGTAATAGTAAAGAACTCTCTGCTACCACCCCCACCCCGCAATTCTCCCCTTCCCCTAGGACATATTGGTCTTATAAGGAAAGCATTGGGATTAAGAACACTGTCCTTTCTGCGTGCCCCAACCTGGATAGCCCAAACTAGCCTGATCCCATCAAATCTCAGAAGCCAAGCAAGATTGGCCCTGGATAGTATTTGAATGGGAGAGCTGTCAAGGAATACCAAGGTTGTGACTCAAAGGCAGGCAACGGCAAACCACCTCGGAATGTCTCTTGCCTCGAAGATCCCTCGGGGTCGCCATAAGTCACTGTAGCCTGACGGCACTTTCCAACACCACCAGAAGTAAAGAACCCTTTTGCTATCCACCTATTCTCTCCCTTCCTCTGAGACATATCTGTCTTATGAGCATGGGACTGGGAATCCCGTGCTTCCTGTGTAATGTGGAGCTCCACCTTTGGATGAGGCACACAAGGTGACCTCGAAGCCATTCCTCACCCAAGCCAAGAGAGTCTCCTTTTCAGCCACGTGGTAGATGAGGCGCAGCGGGCGCGCGGTACTGTGGATGCGGCTGTGAAGGTAGTGATAGAGGTCGAAGAGCCGGTGTCGTTCACTCTCACTGCAATACGGCCCCTCCAGTTCTGGACTGTAGCAGGGAAAGAATGACAATATTAGGGAGTTGTTAGAGTTCCACCTCTGTGACTTCTCAGCGAGAGCCAGTTTGGTGTAGCAGTTAGGAGCATGGACTCTAATCTGGGAGAACCGGGTTTGATTCCCCACCCCTCCACATGCAGCTGCTGGTGTGACCTTGGGTCAGTTACAAGTTCTTCCAGAGCTGTTCTCTCACAGGCAGTTCTCAAAAGAGCTCTCTCAGCCCCACCTACCTCTCGGGCAGTGTTCCCTCTAAGCTGAGTTAGTGTGAGCTAGCTCACAGTCTTTTAGCCTCCAGCTCACAGATTTTTGTCTTAGTTCAGGAAGGATGGCTCCAGAGCAAACTAATTTATTCAGTAACCAAATCACTTGCTCACAACGTAGAATTTTTGCTCACAAGACTCCACAGCTTAGAGGGAACATTGCTCTCAGGGTGTCTGTTGCGGGGAGGGGAAGGGAAAGGAGATAGTAAGCCGCTCTGAGGCTCCTTTGAGTAGTGAAGGGCGGGGTATCAATCCAATCTCCTCTTCTTCTTGCTAGGGATGAGAATGCAGATGCCAGACATCCTTAGGCATCAAATGCACTGGTTCTACAGCATGGCTCAGTGGTAGATTGTCTGTTTTGTAGGAGGAAGGGCCAACATTCAGTCCCCAGCATCTCCAGCTAAAAGATTACGGTGCTACGTGATGTAAATGACCTCCGTCTGAGACCCTGGAGAGCCATTGCCAATCAGAGTAGAAAATACTGACCTTGAGAGACCGAGAGCCTGACTCAGTGTGAAGCAGCTACATGTGTTCATATGAGCAGTGCTCTAGACTGGAGGAGGAAGGAAAACAGACACTCAAAGCTAGCCTAACCAAGACTGACTTGCAGTGTTCTGGAAAGGGTCTACGGCAGGGGTGTCAAACATGTGGCCCGGGGGCCGGTTCAGGCTCCCAGAGGGCTTCTATCAGGCTCACAAAGGACTGGCTGTCTCCTGCTTCTTCCTCCAGTTCTGCTGCTGCTGTTGCATCACAGCTTGCTTTCCCAGACTCTCTCAATCGCTCAGGAGAGATAGATAGGCAAGCTTCTGCTCCCTGCACTGGGCTGAGGCTCCTCCCTCTCCTGGCATTACATTTTATGACAAACATGGCCCGGCCCAACAAAGTCCAATTTATGTCAAATCCCGCCCTCCATGACAAATGAGTTCGACACCCCTGGTCTAGGGCCTATTTCCATTCGACCAACGGCACTCATGGAAAGAATGCCAGGAACCATGTCACATGCCTGTTCCCCGTCCACAGCTCCCAAGTCACCTTGTGCCATGCACAGGACCCAACTTTTCGCACACCACAGTAAAGGTTAATTTTCACACATCTGCAGGGGTGTTCCAAAAGCTAATTCCCGTGTATGCGCTCAGCAACAGTCTGGCCATAGGCTGGGGGCTTGCATGCAGAGGGGTCCCTCCTTCCTGCCCCCTACACACACACACACACAGAGTGCAAATTCAATAGGCCTACAGATCTTGGCAAGTCTTAAAAGCAAGGGAGAGGCGTGTCAAGCACATCTGTTAAAATTCAATGTTACATCAGCGTGCATTGACCTCTTCTCGATACATGCAGAAATAAGCCACGTAGGAATTCCCCTCTGACCCTAAAGGAGTGTGGGTGCTTCCATCAATGGCCGATTCTGCATCTTGCATTCGCTCCACATTTTCTCAACTGAGAGGAGAAAGGGCAGCTCAAGACCACATCCAAATACCTTGGGGCAATGCCGTACTGATGGCAAAGTCACCCCGAATGGCCATAAATCTGTCTAGAAGGTACCATAAACTCCGATGATCAAAGAAAGCGAAAGCAGCATGGAGTGTGGAAGCTACCGACGATCAAAGGAAGCGACAGCAGCATGCAATGCAGAGGGGAATTTCTGTTCCAAGGTGGGTTTGGTAAGACAACGGAGAGAAAAGCCAACGCAGAGTCAGCCAATCTCCCTTCAGAGATGACCTAGCAGTGTTCCCTCAAAGCTGAGCTAGTGTGAGCTAGCTCACAGTTTTCTAGCCTCTGGCTCACACATTTTCGTCTCAGCTCAGGAAGGAGGGCTCCAGAGCAAACTGATTTATGCAGCAGCCAAATCCCTCGCTCACAACTTTAATGCCAGTAGCTTGCAAACTAGAATTTTCGCTCACAAGACTCCACAGCTTAGAGGGAACATTGGTGCACAGCCAGCTTTACCCCTCAGCAGTCCCTCTGCACTTGTGCAGAACTTCAGCCATTGCCCAGTCTCCCCGTCTCTGGGCTCCGGTACTTCTACGAAAAGCTTCTACGTCCACCCAGGTTCTTGTCAGTAAGGGGGGAAAGCCACTTGGCTGACTCTATTTAAAACTGTAATCGAGTAAGGCCGGCTTAGCTCTTTCCAGCACCTCTGGCTGAGAACCACGGAGAGGGGGAAGGGAAAGAAAAAAAGCGGCATACTATCTGTCTCTACAGCAGGGGTGGCCAAACTGCGGCTTGGGAGCCACATGCGGCTCTTTTATTTTATTTATTCATTTATTATTTGTATTTATAGCAAGTAAGCGGGCTCAGGGTAGGTAACCTCATAAAAACAGTACAATAAACACAACCAGGGCTATTTTGGGGGGCAGGAACGCACAGGAACGGAGTTCTGGCTGGGTCCTGAGTTGACCACGCCCAGCAGGACCTCATTAGCATAACAGGCCACACCCGACAGCAGAAATTCATTAGGATTGGCTACATTAGGGGTGTGTGGCCTAACATGCAAAGGAGTTCCTGCTACAAAAAAAGCCCTGGGTTTTGACAACAAATAAGGTAAAGAGAATAAGAAGCAAAAGGTGGGTATGGCTGGATGACCACACTTCTGGTAACATGGGGGTGTGGCCTAAAATGCTAATGAGCTGTGCTGTCATGTGTGTGGCCTAATATGCTAATGAGTTTCTGCTGTTGGGTGTGGCCTATTATGCTAATGAATTCCGGCTGGGCTTTTTCTACAAAAAAAGCCCTGAACACAATTAAAATTAAACAAGTTAGGAATCCAATAATAAACATTAAAACGCAATCATACTTCTGACAGTCACTGGCTGTACAGTTCTTTAGCATATTAATCGGGTTAATAGATGGATAGGTGACCACGACCTCAGGGAGGCCATGTAAATTTAAGACGTCCGCTGCCTCAACCAAAGGCCTGGTGGAACAGCTGCGTCTTACAGGCCCCTGCGGAATTGAAGACGATCCTGCAGGGCCCTAATCTCAACTGGGAGCATGCAGAAAAAGCCCTGGCCCTGGTCAAGGCAAGACGGACGTCCTTTGGGCCAGGGACAACATATTGCGCGGCTCCCGGCAGGGCAGCTGGGGAAGCGAACAGGAGGCAAGCTTTTTCTCCCTCCCTCCCTCCCTCCCTCCCCTTCCCTTCCATCTATTTGCTTGCTTTGTTTCTCTCTCACTTTCTTTCTTTCCACCTCTTTCATCCTTTCTTTCCACCTCCCTCTCTCTTTCTCTCTCCCTTAGACAGTTTGGTGTAGTGGTTAGGTGCGTGGACTCTAATCTGGGAGAACCGGGTTTGATTCCCCACTCCTCCCCTTGCACCTGGCTGGATGACCTTGGGCAAGCCGTAGTTCTGGCACAGCTGTTCTTGAAAAAAAGAGCAGTTTCTGTCAAGAGCTCTCTCAGCCCCACCCACCTCACAGGGTGTCTGTTGTGGGGAGGGGGAGGGAAATGAGTTTGTAAGCTGCTCTGAGACTAGGCTTGCCAAGTCCCCCCGGGGGGTGGGGAAACCCCCGCCCCAGAGGCCCGTTCCCCGCCACCGGCGGATCGGGCCCCGGGGGGAACCCCACCCCCAAAGTACGTGACGTGCACGTCACCCGGAAGTGACGCGACCAGACCGGGCACGCTGGGGGCGGGGCCACGGTCATCCGAGGGAAAACTCTATGGTTTTCCCTCGGATGGTCATGGCCCCGCCCCCAGCATGCCCGGCATGGTCACGTCACTTCTGGGTGATGTGGTTGCGGCACGCGCACTCCAGGACTGAGCCAGGAGTCCCCCACTGCAGCAACAGGTAGGACTTGGCAACCCTATCTGAGACACCTTTGGTTAGTGAAGGGCGGGGTATAAATCCAATCTCTTCTTATCAATACCTGTTTTCACCCCTTTTCTTTTTGTTTTTGGCAGTCTCATTTAATGTTAATAGAAAGCAAATCTGCATGCTTTTCAAAATAAAAACGTGCGTGTAATATTTGTTCATGTCTTGCGGTTCTCAAACATCTGACGTTTATTCCGTGTGGCTCTTAACACTGAGCAAGTTTGGCCACCCCTGCTCTAGAGGTTCGTCCACCTCGAGAGCCACGTCCAGCCGCAACAAAACTGAAAACAATTAAGCTAAAAGAAAATTAAGCTAAAGGGGATCGTTCGCCCAAAACACAGAGTAAGATTTGGTAGTGATTGGACACTGGGACAAGAAAACACCGTTCTGCTGGTCTACCTATTGCTGCACCACGCAGGCATTTCAGATATTCCGCTGCAGCAAATCTGGAACTTCCACCAAACGCACGCTGAACGGTGAGTGGCAACCCAGCCCGATTCTCTGCCAAGCGTGCCGGTGTTGTGTGCGTGTTAACAGGCTTGGCGTATCTGAAAATGCCCTCCCCCGTGACACTAAGGGAGACGTGCGAGTACATGCAACAGTGCCAAGGTGGATTCAGTCCTCACTTGCATTGCCAAGATCATTCACGTGCTTTTCGTTAAAGAAAATGCCCATATTTGGTTCCAAGAAATTTCAAACCCCGCACTCAGAATCGGCTTCACAAGCTGTTAAACCCTTTGCTCGTGTTAACAAGAAATCTGTTCAATCTACGTGACGTATTCCGAGGGGACCATCCCAATTTCTCTAGTGCGTTCAAAAGTTTTACTGGTGAGGAGGAGCAGCAGCATGCCGGCAAGGCCCGAGCTAGCAGTAAACAAAGAGCCAAGTTGACATCTGATGGGAAGCGACAGAAGGGGCAGATCATACTGCAAGGATGCAACCGCCACGTTCCCTGAAAGACTAGCGTCTCTGTGTTTTGAAAACCTGTTTCCAAAACAGAGAACAAGCAACTTGCTTTTACCATTCTGGAGGAACTCCAAGATTAAAGGACACCTTCCTGAGGCAGAAACCAGGCAATACCCTATAAGTAACAAACCGTGTTTTACGCTCCTCTGAACCATATTTTATGCTCGTCTGAACAACACCTTTGGGTAATCCCCAGGCCAAAAGACATCCATCTAGCCTCGATCAGAGCCAGGGCCTTCCCAGCTCTCGCCCTGGCCTGGTGGGACACTCTCCCTAATGAGATCAGGGCCCTGCAGGACTTATTACAGTTCGGCAGGGCCTGTAAAACACAGTTGTTCCACCAGGCCTTTGGTTGAGGCAACGGGTGTCAAATCACAGTGGCCTCCCCTGCCCTAAACTGTCCCTATGTCGAGCACTCTGTTAATCCGCTCCATTGGCGATGTTTTCGCCCACTTACCCAATACCCTTGGCCCTTGGGCACACATACAGCGTACGGCTGGGAGTTTTGTTGACATTCTGCTTCGCCATCATGTCTGATGCTACCTGGGTTTTATAGGTTTTAAACTGTAATTACTGTGGACTTCATTTTAAATTGTTTTATCTAGTTGTTGTAAGCCATCCTGAGCCTGCTTGCAAGGGAGGCAGGATAGAAATCCCAATAATAATAATAACAATAATCAGAGCTATTTTGGGGCAGGAACGCACAGGAACGGAGTTCCGGCTGGCTCCTGAGTTGGCCACGCCCAGCAGAAACGCATTAGCATAATAGGCCACACCCAATAGCAGAAACTCATTAGGATTGGCTACATTAGGGGTGTGTGGCCTAACATGCAAAGGAGTTCTTGCTACAAAAAAAGCCCTGGGTTTTGACAACAAAGAAGGTAAACAGAATAAGAAGGGAAAGGTGGGTGTGGCTGGATGACCACACTTCTGGTAACATGGGGGTGTGGCCTAATGTGCTAATGAGCGGCGCTGTCAGGGTGTGGCCTAATATGCTAATGAGTTTCTGCTGTTGGGTGTGGTCTATTATGCTAATGAGTTCCTAAAAACTTTTTCTACAAAAAGAGCCCTGACAATAATGATGATGATGATGGTGATGATATTGAGGAGGAGGAGGAGACTGGATTTATATCCCACCCTTTACTACCCGAAGGAGTCTCAGAGTGGCTTACAGTCTCCTTTCCCTTCCCCGTCCTCACAACAGACACCCTGTGAGGTAGGTGGGGCTGAGAGAGCTCTCCCAAGAACTGCCCTTGAGAGAACAGCTCTGAAAGAACTTGTGACTGACCCAAGGTCACACCAGGAGCTGCATGTGGAGGCGTTGGGGAATCAAACCCGGTTCTCCCAGATTAGAGTCCCCCACTCTTAACCACTACACCAAACTGGCTTAATAATAATAAACCATCTTTGCTAGATATGCACGGATGCATCATCCAATGGGGTCAACACCAAGGGACCTAGCGGGGTCTGCAACAAACATCCAGGGGAGGAAGATATCGCTACAGTAAGAAATAGCGTCCGAGCCATCATTCCCTATTGGTGCCTCCACCCTACTCCCTGTATCATCGAACCCCCCTAGTTCTAAGAACTCCCACATTACTCAGAGGAAATGCCAGTCCACTAGAAGGGGAAGGGAACCTTGATAACATGTCTGCTGGTTGAAGAAGATCTTGACTGAGCATCTGCTTCCCCTCCCCTCTACAGGTATTTAAATCCAGTTTGGGGTAGCAGTTAGGAGCACAGACTCTAATCTGGGAGAACCGGGTTTGATTTCCCACGCCGCCACGCACAGCTGCTGGAGTGACCTTGGGTCAGTCACAAGTTCTCCCAGAGCTGTTCTCTCACAAGCAGTCCTCGGA